CTTCATTGAATATTTATTTGATATATGGGGCTCATTCCATCAGGGGCCCACTTGCCATTGGGCAAGCAGACACTCTGAGCAGTCCATCACTGTTTCTCCTTGTTACTGAAGAATGAAATTTTCTCCCCATATGGCAATTTTTTTTTTACTTAAATTTAAGTTGCTTCCCTTACTTTACATAGATATTTTTCTACTTTTGAGATCCTGTGATGAGTGATTTTCAATAAAAAAACGTTTTTATTTTGCTGAAGCTGATTACCTAACTGAATATGTTCTAATAATGCATCCACTTTAATTTGAATCTCTTTAATTGGTTCAGTTTACCAAATCTTAACTTATATGAATTTCTGAATTTTTTATTCACAAATGCTACACTATAATAAAACAAGATGATATTTGGTTATGGATTGGAAGAAGTAATCTCATTTAATTTTAGCTGTTTTCACAGATTCCCAGACTATTAAGAGCTTTATCCATCTATATTTCTGAGATGAGCTATTGTAATTATTTACACTATTTACATTATTTGGACTGTTGTCCTCATCTTTGTTGTCATATTCATGTTTCGGCCATTGTATGTTCTGGCCTTCTTCAGGATCTGTCTATATATATGAGATGAGCTAGTGTAACTATTTACACTATTTACATTGTTCAGACTGTTGCCCTCATCTTTGTTGTCATATTCACAATGCTTCGGCAGTTGTACGCTCTATCCTTCTTCAGGTGATTGAAATTTCCAACCAGACCCTTTATGTTGTCATTTTAGTAGAATGTTCTAGTTCCACGTGCCATGTCTCTTCTGGATATTTCAATTTCAGTTATTTCCCTTTAACTCAACACTCCAAGTTATTCTGCTGTGGCTACATATTGAACATACAACTCTTTTTGGGTCAAGTCACTGGATTACCAATGCCTTTTTTTCCACTTGGTCATTTGTTTTTGAAATAAAGGGTTCGGTTTGAAATTAGAATCAACTGAAGAAGGCTGGAGTGTACAATGGCCAAAACATCATGAATATGACAGCAAAGATGAGGACAATTTAAATACAGTAAATGTTAAGAGCTTGTCCTGTTATAAAATATTCAAAATACCTGTAGATTAACTGAAGACTATTTTGCTTTCAATTCTTTCTTTCAAAGAACGTTCAAGAAGCCTTTTTGCCATTAACATTGTATAATATTGAGTTGGCACAAAGATTGTAGAGTTTTCAAACAGGTGTTGTTTGACTATGACATTTTTGACAGTTGACTGAAATTTATGACACAACATATATTCCTTGTTTTGGCTGAGAAGGTAACAACTTCTCTGATTGTTAACCATTAAAATTTGGCAACTTATGATTTAAAACATTATAAATGTCTTAAATTGCATCTAAAGCAGTAGTCCCCAATCTATTTTTGGCCATGTCCCACCTAAGCATCTCTAAAATCCTGATACAACCCCCCATGTGACATATATTTCTTATTTAAAATGTGGGTACCTATTCACATGGAGGAAACCTAAAAGGCTATTAACTTAAATTTCCTTAAGCAATTCTGACTGTATATATACAATAGTATTATCATTTAATTTTAGAATTTTTCCAGCATTTATAAAAATATTGTTATATATATATATATATATATATATGTATAGAATATATAGTACATATGTAATTATACATGCATATACATACACACAAATATTTCAACAAAAAAGCATTTGTAATGGAAAGAGCAATAACAGTCACTGGACTTGAAACTTATTTTCACTTACCCTTCAATCAATGAATGCTGAATTTTTTTATATAAGGAAACAGCTAATCTCTTTATTTTATTTTATTTTATATATATATATATATATATATATATATATATATATATATATATATGAATATATATATATATATATATATATGTATATATATATATATATATATATATATATATATATATATATACAAGTATAGGATTGGTGTATATGGAATAAATTCCAATAACCAAAAAATGCTATTCTTAAAAGTGTGCTCAATATGAGTAAAGCAAATATAATTTATTTGAAAATTATAACAGCAATATGTTATAAAATCACTACAAAAATAGCCATTTTGTTTTAACACTTCTCATGTCTTATCAAGTGATAGTGTTGAATGTAGAATAAAGGTTTTTATTGTAGTGATCCTATAACATATTTATGTTATAATTTTTTAATAATATATATATATATATATATATATATATATATATAGATAGATAGATAGATAGATAGATAGATAGATAGATAGATAGATATTTGTTTGTTGCTTTTTTATTGCATTTTATTAACCATTTCACCCCAAGCAAGGCAAGGTGAAAATGCCCCTAAGTTGCACATGGTTACTGGGAGTGAAAGAGAGTGAGAAGAAAGGGACAGAAGCTCAGGTTTCAAGAAGACAGAAGATGGCGATTGATGATGTATTTAAACTTTTGAAGAACACAGGTGGCAAAGAAGCAAGAAATCAGAAAAGTGTTCAAGAGATGAGAAATGCAAGAAAAGAAACTACTAAAATAGAACTTGTAGTTACATCTATCTATTACAACAGTAAAATGAGTAGACTTAGTAGCCAGTCTAGTAGTGCGCTTAATTTCGCACAGTAGAGGTACCAAAGAGTACAGCACATTATAAGAACTGCCATGAAAATATTTATAGAAAAGTGAGAGGGAAACTGTGTCATGGTGGTGGGAAATTGACTTAAGTCAAGATGCCAGGTCAAGGCCAATAACACTGCAGACTCTTCTGGATTTTGTCAAAAATCTCTAGATATATAACCAGAGCACCAGACGAGATATGGCAGCAATATTCAGTGCACAGATGAATGGTAGATTTAAAAATGAAAAATGAATTTAGGCAAGAAAAACTATCTGGCAAGGCATAGTGAAACCATATTTTGTTATAAACTAGTTATTAAACACCCAATATTTGCTCAAGATGGCATATCTGATTTGATCTAAACCAGTGGTGGTTTCCCCCCCTTTTTTTCTTTTCTTTTTTTTTTTTTTTTTACCCCAACTAAACATTTCTAAAATTCTCATCCCACACCCTGTGACACACAGTTCTTATTATTCAAAAAGTGAACTCCTATTCACACGGAGGAAGCCTAAAAGGTGATTAACTTAACTTTCCATAAGAACTTGAGACTTCATATATGCAATAGTATTATCATTTAATTTTAGAACTTTACAATATTTATAAAAATATTGTGTTACTAATATATATATATATATATATAATCAACTCTCCCGTCAAATTTGACGTATGAGGGTCAAGCAGATCAGTTCCTAGGAAACTGACAGCTCAGACACCAGCACATAAGATTTAATTATAGTGGTGAAGGTTTTGTGCAGAACCATCCATGCTTTTTGAAGGGACAAATACAGAGACCTGGTGCACTACGTGCCACAAAGTTCCCAAATGACCCTCTGCAGGTTTTGAATTGTTGTCCTTCTCTTAGACCAGTTACCATACAAGGTTATAGAACCCAGTCTGTCCTGCTATTTACCCATAGCTGGAGGGAGAAGAAGAGGATGTATACCTTTCTCAAGAGTATTAGCACATAAGTGAATGTAATGGATTTGACTGGAATTCAAACACGGCTCTGTGATTCCTCAATCCAAGACGCTATTCATTACTCCACTGTGCCTCCCATATATATATATAAATGTGAAAATGAGCTTAATGAAGATAAGCCATATATGTGTGCGATTATGTACATATACAGATGTGTAAATAAATATTTATTTAATTTTTGGTGTAGACGAAACATTGCTCAATGTAGTTAAACAGAGGTATAAAGTATATATCAATAATTACACATATACTTATGTCTGCAGTACATCTCAAAGTTTCATGGATTTCCCATTTAATATTTAATTATTTAATATATATATATATATATATATATATATATATATAAAGGAGGCACAGTGGAGTAACGGATAGTGGTTTGGATTGAGGAATCAGAGAGCTGAGTTTGAATTTCATTTGGATTCATTACATTCACTTACATGCTCTAATTAAAGACAGAAAGGTTTAAAATTCTCCTTTCTTCACCCCAGCTATTGGTAAATGGCAGGACAGACTGGGTTCTATATCCTTGGATGGGATCTGGTTTAGGAGAAGGACAACTCTGAATTCAAAACCTTGTGGTATGTATTCAGCTCATCAAAAAGTGTGGTTGGTTCTGCACAAAGCCTTCACCACTATAATCAAAGCATATGTGTAGGTGTCTGGCTCTCAGTTCCTAGGAAGTAAATTGCTTGACCCACATATGTTGAAAAACCAACAGGAGAGTCCAGTATATGTGTGTGTGTGTATTATATACAGTACATACATAATTACACATATACCGCCATACATACAAATATTTTTATATATGCGTACTGTATATGTACTATGCAGGGCTTTTGAATTTAGTGGATGTGTGAAAAAAAAAAAGCAGGAGATTATTGGATCAGAAAATTGATAGAATCACAGATGAACTTGATATTTTTTTTGATGTTGGACAGCTTCACTTGTCACTTTTGCTATGTCAAGTAGAAGCTTGTTATCACTTCCAAAAATGCTCGTTATATTCATGATATCATAGACGCCAGAACTAGTAGTAATGCCTTCCAACAATATCCGCACTAGTAATACTTGTTCAAGTAGTAATCGCCAAATTGTATAATGATCAGAAGAGAATATTAGTAGAGTAGAGAGAGTGAATGTATAGCAATAGTGGATAGACGAGAAAAGTGAGCAGTGATCGTATAGTCATCACACTACTTCCTATTTATTCACTTCCTTTATTTAATAATAGAAATGCACTGGCAATCTAGTTTCAAACCATAGTGTTGGCAATGACACCTACTCTTATACAAGAATATTATCATTTGCATGTGACAGCACAAGTTCATAGCTTTGTAAACAGTAAATATTATGAAAATGTTTTTGTCATCAATACCAAATGGAAGAATAATATCCATAGACATTGTTGAGGGAGCTTACAGCCATATCAGGTTGAAACACTGGTTCTTGTATGATCACAGAAGTTAAGCAAAGTTGAGTCTGGCTAGTACCTAGATGGGTGACCACTTGGAAATACCAAGTGCTGTAAGCTTGTATATGTGAATAGTGTAATGGATAATGACTGTTGAGTTCCAATTCTGGTTGGGTTCATTATATTCACCTATGCAAAATACCTTTAGGAAAGGGATGAAACCACCTCTTCTCCCCTCCAGCTATGGGATAATTAGTAGGAATTGTTTCAGTAAATCATTATTTCCAAAAAAATCTTTCAATCTAAAAAGCTAAGGCAGAAATATTCATTACATGGATTAATGGTAGACTTACAAATTTGTGAAAGTTAACTTTTATCATTGAGATATGAAAGGGGTAAAACTATATTATTAAAAGAACTATTAATAAAATTCCATTATTCCTTGTAAAAACTTGAAAGAGCTTGGAAAACCTGCAACACTTTCATAAGTTAGCACAAGACAGGGAGGTTTGGAGAAAATAGATGATATATTTACAAAGTTACTGAAGATGAGAAATCATACTGATTTGCAGTGTGCCTTCAAGTAGAAACTGCTCTGGTGATAATGATGCTAATTGTGTATTACCAAGACACTGTTAGGTGGCTCTGCTAAACAGCTATCAAAACAGGACACTTCCTGTTTTCTCTTCTTTTTTTGTTCTTTCTTTTCATCATGCTGTAGTGACAACATCAACATGGGACCTGTCCCCAGGCATGGGGATATCTGTCTCCTGTGTGGCTGAACTTTTTCACACACACACACACACACACACACACACACACATGAGTGCATCACACACATATACTACTGTACTGTACTGATGCGGCATTCACTCTGGGCGGATTGAGCCGGCTTCTTCCTGTTATGAGAAGAAGATTCTTGGCATAAATTACAGAAGTAGGGTACCCAGGCCTACTCGGATAACGTTCTTGCTTGCCGCGGGATTCCCACAGACGCAGAGACAGGAACGACCAGAAGCCGCCGGTTACCGATGCAGACGCTCCTTGGATTTTCACCAGAGCCCTTGTTAGCGGCAGTGTGTGTCAGACCTGTCCGCCTTTGGTGGCCCTACCAGGAACGAAGTTCCGGGCGGCATAGCTCTGACACTACCGTTTACACCCCCCCCCCCACCGACTGTGAGGTAAGGGTTGGACACATATACAGACACACATGATTTCTAATTACTAAATTTTAATGTCTTCTTTCTTCCCAGATATATTTACATAGTATATCTTAGGGTGGGGATTTGCTTAGGTCGCTTATTTAATAGTTAGTCTTGGTTTGGGAAGATAATTAAGGCTATTTATTCGTTCAATGTTTAGATTGCTTACCGTAGTTTATTCTGTTATTTTGGCGCGGGGGGGTGCAGTTTTTAATTTATTTATTTACTTGGATTTATTATTTTTACTTGTTTTTTTTATGTATTTAGTGGTTTGTTAATTTGTTTATTATTTGTTTGGATCAGTTTATTCTACTTGTTTTTTTATATTATTTTATTTATTTGTATTTCCCATTCACGAAATAATGAATTAAAAAACTGGTTGCAAAATAACAGATTAAAGCAATCTAAACTGTTGTGATGACCATTCAGCGGACAGGTTGAAAAAAGGTCAAGAAGTTTCGTTTGTTAACACCTATTGAGGTTAGCATACTCCCGACTCTGTCTCTGTATTTGACACACCTACATCCGATTATAAACCTATTATTGAAAACCAACACTCGTGTTTACTTTGTTTATTATATCTTGCACGAGATATAACAGCTGGCGGCGAGGATTGTGCAACGTACTTACCTGAAAAAAAAATATATATATATATATCAGATTACGCTGAACGGATTTCGGAAGCAGATTCGCAAGTCAAAGATATCAGTTGACGCCGATTAGGATTTCAAAAGCGGAGTCACAAGTCAAAAGGAAACTTTTTGAAAAGTAAAAAATTTTTACTGTTAAATTGTGATTTGAAAAATATATATTGAACCGCGACTCAAATGCGAGCCGGTCTAATAATTGATTATTCAAGTAAAAATTACGGGTTGTAAAAAAAATATTACGGCTGTAAATTGTCTGTTAACCGTCTAAAAAAAAAAAAAAAAAATTTTTTTTTCTAAATAAAGTCAGGATGGAGCAATTAGTCGAAATGACTAAAATGCTGTGTACAAGCTTGCAACAGCAACAACAACAGCATCAAGAGTTACAACAACAGCAACAAAAACAGCATCAAGACTTACAACAACAAATACTGCAACAGCAAAAAAGTCTCGAAAAAATTCTGAAACAGGCGACTGGAGAAAGAAAAAATGCTGTTTTTTCTGCCGAAGGAATAGCAAATTCATTATCCGAATTTATTTATGAACCTGATTCGGGCATTACATTTCCAGCATACTTTAAACGTTTTTCAAACTATATTTACCAAGAGATGTCAACATTGGTCGGATGAGGAACGAGTAACATTATTAGTCCAGAAACTAGGGACAAACGAGAATAGGAAGTACTCAAACTTGATATTGCCCAGAAAGCCAGAAGAAGTTTCGTTTGAAGAAACTATAAGTATTCTGTCAAAAATATTTGACGAAAGGAATAGTCTGTTCCACACGCGATACAGATGCCTAAACGTCGTTAAAGCAGATAGCGAGCATTTTGTGACATACGCGGGAACAGTGAACTCTCTGGTTGAACAATTCAAGTTAGAAGAAATAACCAAAGATGTATTCAAGTGCCTAATTTTTCTTCAAGGACTAACTGATCCTAAATATAAAGAAATTAGGTCGAGAATATTAATAATGGTCGAGCAAGACTCGAAAATAACATTACAAAGGGTGACCAAGAATGCCAACGTCTCATAAACGTAAAAAGGGATAATACACAAATTGAGGAAAAAAGTGTTGCTAATGTTCGACACGTAAAAACTCAAAAAACTCCAAAAAAAAAAAGATAGAAAAATGTGAGACGTGTGGAAAAATAACCATACCAAAGACACGTGTTGGTACAAAAATAAATTCTGCCAATCGTGCGGAAATAAAAATCATACCAAAGACGTGTGTTGGTACAAAAATAAATTCTGTCAATCGTGCGGAAATAAAGGGCATAAATATTCGGTTTGCCGCAAGAAAAGGAAATTACAAGATGTAAGCCTGGTATTATCAGAAAAAGAAATTCAGAACGGTAAAAATAGAAAGTACGTAGATGTACGTATAAATAATCATACAATTACTTTCCTATTGGATTCTGGTTCAGACATAAGCATCATTGATGAACAAACATGGAAAAATATTGAAGACCTAAATTATCTGAAACCAAAAAAAAAAAAAAAAGAGGGGTTTCAGGAAAGAAATTAAACTTTAAGGAGAATTAAAGTGCGATATTTCGTTATGTGGCAAGACTGCAAAAAACGAAAGTGTATGTAATCCAAGGGATTAATTCATGTCTTTTGGAATAGACTGGATAGTACTCTTTGATTTGTTTGAACTCCCGATTAACTCATTTTGCAACGTAATAAACAGTGCAGAAAAACAAAAAAGTATTAAAATGAAAAATTCATGAATGAATTAAAAAAAAGAATATCCCAGAGTTTTTTTCTGAGGGATTGGGTTTATGTACTAAGACGGAAGTCAAATTTGAACTCAAGGAAAATGTGAAACCAATTTTTAAACCTAAGAGAAACGTTCCTTTTTCCTCCTTAGACACAATTAATAAGAAATTGGAAAGGCTTGAAAAAATGGGAGTGATATCTATGGTTGACCATGCGGATTGGGCCTCGCCCACAGTTTATGTTAAGAAGAAAAACAGAAAAATAAGAGTGTGCGCAGATTTTTCAACAGGGTTAAATGATTGCCTTAAAAATCAGTTATCCACTACCTTCACCAGAAGATATTTTTTCAAAATTGAATGGTGGGAAGATTTTTTTTCAAAATCGACCTGTCTGACGATACTTGCAGATTAAAGTGAGTGACGAATGCTCAAAATATTTGTGTATAAATACACATAAAAAGGTATTTATAAGCTAAATAAACTTCCTTTTCGGCTTAAAGGTCGCCCCAGCTTTGTTTCAACAGGTGATGGACACTATGCTGGCAGGCCTTGAGTTTGGTACCGCCTATTTAGATGACATTCTAGTCAAAAAGTAAGAATGTTTAAGAACATAAAACGCACATCAGAGCGATATTCAAAAGACTAGAAGATTTTGGCTTTAAATTAAGCCACGAGAAGTGTAAATTCTTCATGGAAAGAATTACATACCTCGGGCAGGTAATAGACAGTGAAGGCAGGAAACCGGACCCACAGAGAGCCGATGCAATTAAGAACATGCCTGCACCCGACACAGTTGCGAAACTACAATCGTTTCTGGGGTTGGCACAATATTATGCAATCTACATACCTAAAATGTATGATTTAAGAGCCCCCCTTAACGAATTGTTGAAAAAAGACAAGAAATGGTTTTGGTCAAAAGATTGCGAGACGGCTTTTCAGAAAATAATAAAAAAAAAACGCCTACTCTCAGATCTCGCTTTAGCACATGATGATCCTGAGAAAGAGATCATTCTGGCAACTGACGCAAGTTTGTACGGAGTGGGTGCTGCACTGCTACACAAATATGAAGATGGCACTACTAAACCGATCGCGCACGCGTCGAGGACTCTTCTTCCGGCTGAAAAAAATTATAGCCAGATCGAGAAAGAGGCTTTGTCGATTGTGTTCGGGGTTAAAAAATACCATCGCTTTTTACATGGTAGATCATTTGTACTTCGAACGGACCATAAACCGTTACTTACAATATTTGGAGGTAAAAAAAGGCATTCCTACGCATACAGCTAATCGCTTACGGCGATGGGGTGTAACCCTGCTTAATTACCATTTTAGGATGGAATACGTCAAATCTAAAGAACATGGGCATGCAGATGGATTGTCAAGGCTGATTCCAAAAAAATGAAGAAATGTTAGAAGAGACGGTTATAGCAGCATTAACTGAGGAAAAAGAAATATCAGGTCTCTTGTTAAATACAATCAGGGAATTGCCGGTAACTTTGGACCAAATAAAAAAAGAAGCAGAAAAAGATCACTATATTGTGAAATTAAGGAA